GCATCCTTGTAGAAGGCCTTCTTCGCCTCCTGGAAGTTGGCAAGAACCGTCTCGTCCTCCGGATTCTCATGGAAAGCGGCGAGTGCCTCCTCAAAGTAGGTCTCGGCCTCGGTCATCTCGCACTCCTCGGTGTCGTCATCCTGTTCCTCATCGTCATTCCACCACACACCGGTGTCGTAGTCCACCTCATCGTCGTACTCCAGGGTGTTGTGGAACGCCTTGGCCACCCTTTTTCGCTCCGTGTCCTTCTGGATCAGGCTGTCTCCTCCCCACATCTTTCGCAGGGCCGCCATAACATCAGACATTTTGTAGCTCGCCGTCTGAGACTTCAACGTTGCAGTGTCCGATGGCTCCAGGCGCACATGCTTGTTCAGCAGAAACCAGCCGTAGATCTCAGAAGGCACCTTGTCCGTGGTGCCGATTTCCTCCAGCGCTCGCGGGATGTCTCTGGTGAAAACCGACAACCGCTGTTCGAAATCATTGAGGCTCTCCTTGTCGCGGCGAACCACGTCGCCTGACTGAAAGTACTTCTCAAAGGCTTCTCCAAGGATGTCGACCTGTTGCTTGCCGCGCTTATTCTTAAGGAAACTAAGCATGTAATCGAGGCCATCTTTCTTCCTCAACTTTGTCCGGTCGATGTCTGTGCAGGCTTCCCAAGCCTTCCCAGTCAAATTCCGAACAAGTCGAGGAGCCAGCGTGGGCTGGTCCTCGTCTTTCAGCCCGTCCGATTCCAGAAAGCACGCTAGCTTGTAATCGGAAAAGCTCTTCCAATCACCATCCCAGGTCGGAAGCTTGGGATTCACTCCTGCCTCAGCAGTGTTCGCACTCATCGTAGGGCTCACCAAAGTCCTTGCCACGTTGAGGCTCCGCTACCAGTGCAGAATCGGCACTGGCAGCTGCCTTCTGCACTGGTGGTCGGAATGACCAGCACAGAAGTAAGAATGATGTTTTGTAGAATGAAAGACAGAACGACAAAGAGTAGTGAGGAGCTGAAGGGTAAGAGCTCTCACACACGATCGGTCTGCAATGGCTTTTGTCCCGCACTATGCTGAAAGCTCACATCGGGCCTCGAGCCCGCCTTTGCGGAGTGAAAGCGCACGTGTGCGACATCTCAGCGGACACAGCAACTGCACCTGCACATTTCAACAGGCCCTTCGGGGCTTGCGTGGGCGCCCTTTTTCAGAAAAGTCGAAAAGAAGTGCTTTCCCCTGTGCTTCGGGCGCCGACTGTCGGCCCTTTGGCATCGGGCGCCGTCAGACGGCCCTGCTTGCAAAGTGCATGTCGACAGAATAAGCCTGCACTGTGGGACTATTGCTTTGGTTCGCATTTTATACGTCCTACTTTCGCGTCGGCCGCCGCCTTGGGATGCGGTGTGCAGTTGTCCGGCGTGCCTTCATGGCCATCCTTGCACCCAACTGCAGGTACGAGTATGTAGTATGTAGCGCCCGCTGAATAGTCGACTCGACTAAAGCGTGTGAGTGGAAAAAATGACTCCTCCTCGTGTGATGCGATACAGGTCTTGCTTGCAGTTGGATCACGGTCATTTCTGATACTCCTAAAGGAGTTTGAGGGGCCTGGGAATATCTGTTCTGATGTTTTCATCGGATGAACATGGATGTCTGCTGTGCCTTTCCGGCGATCGCGATCGGAGCATCCGTTCGGAATGATGATGGTCAGAGATGTTCGAGCTTTGATCTGTGGCCGACTCCCACGTTACTGTCGCCCAAAAAGGTCTTGCCCGTGCGACTTCAGGGCTGTTCAGCGAGTTTTCCAGCGGTGGAGATCTAGGAAATTGGTAGAAATATATGTACATATATATATATATTTATAATATTCGTGTTAGCCTCACTAGTGATGTCGCGTTGGTGTCGAAGGCAAGAAGTCCTTTGCTTCATGTGCGATTCTTTGGCTGGGGCCCAAACGAGATCTTCCCGCTGACAAGCTCCCTTGAGATTTGTTCCTGTGCTTTCAGCTTTGCCTGTGATACGGGTTCAGGTGTTCCCTGCCTTTCCTCGTTCTTGGAATGGCAGCACCAAATCTTTTCATGATTGCAAGGCGGGCTTCCGTAAGCTTCAGACAAAAGCTTCTGATTTGTCAGCCGACAGGTTTGTGCCCACTTTGATAAGCTGGCTGTCAGCTGCACTCGGAAGGTGCGTTGCAACGATTTGCTACGTTCAACTTTCACATGACGTCCTACTAGCCTATTCCAGAATTGTTAGCCTAACTGCTGGACTGTTGGCACGATGTCTGCAGCTGTTTAATTAGTCAAACCGACCAACAGCCGCAACAGCTGCAACATACCATGAATTCAAGAACAAAGCATGTTTGAACTGTCAGTCTGTTAGAAGCTGAGAGTCTGAGAGATGCGCGCAATAAATTTCGAGAACATCTCATCTTAAATTTGAATGCCGACGCCTCCATCGATCCTGACTGATGTGCTCATGCCTTTGGGGTCTCGCGGCTCCTCGAGTGAAAGCCAGATTAATACTTTGCATGATGTGGGTACAATATACAAGTAGGCTGCATGCAGTTCCCAATTCGCAGTTAAAACATAATCAAGGTGCTGTGTTGTCGCACTTGTTAGTTTCCTGCCTTTCAAGTTCCCCGATGCAGCTCCCGAGACTCGCGCGTTTCGAAGACTCTAAGCCGGAGGCTGTTAGCTTTACAGGGTTGTCTTCGGGAGATTTGTCAAAATCAGGGTCACCTTCACCAGGATTCAGGCTTTGGTTGGGATTTCGGGGTTGGGATTTCGGGTTTAGGGTGTTTTTCTCTACTTTCGGTTCCGGGGTTCTGCCGTGGGCTTCAGCACTTATGGGTTGGGCACAGAGTTTTTGGTTTGGGTTCTAAGTTTTGGGCCTGCTGTGTTTACAGTAGGGTTTTGGGAGCTGTACAGGGCTTTCGTGTGTTTCCGGTTGAGGGACTGGGGTGCCTGCACTTCGATATTGGGGACTGTGGCCTTCAAGTTTCGGTGCCTTTGTGTTTAGGGTTTAGGGTTTATGGGGTTTATAGGGTTTAGGGTTTAGGGTTTATGGGGTTTATAGGGTTTAGGGGTTGTAGTGGCTTGGTTTAGGCTTTCAGCGTCTGACGGCGGACGAGGCTGTCTTCGCGTTGGGGGCTCTTGGTTCGGTTTCCGGGTTGGGGTTGCGGGTCTGGGGCTGGGGCTGTTGGTTCAAGGTTCAGGGTTGGAGTAAAGCGCAGCCAAGGACAGCAGATAAGGTGACAATAGCGCGCTTCGGCTCCACGCACACCGTGGAAGAGCTGAGGTCTTTCTCAAGTTGCACAAGGCAGCCACATGAACCTGGTTATGCCTCTCTAAAGCCAAGATGTATCTAAAACCCTACACCATCCCTCAGGCCCCGAGCAGTGCAGGTTTGCCATGGTCGCCACATGCCCTGGCGTACTGCTCCGCCCCCGACAAGTCAGAGCGACGGCTGCGACTGCAGCCCAGAGCGATGCTGGAGAGACCAGGCAGGGAGCAAAGTTCCAAATGATGTTGCTCGACTCGTTTCTTGAGATTAAGCTGATACCAGATGCAACGACTGTTCCAGCGTAACTGGCGTAAGTTGGCCTAGTTCATAGGCTTGATCGGCTGCAGCTCATGCCCGATCATACCAAGTCTGGGTGTAGCACTGGTTCGGATGCGCATGCCAAAGCTTGAGACCTCGGAGCATGTCGACGTGGACTTTCGAGACGAGTCAGGGCAGAGAACTCGCAGAGCTTCTGTCAAGATGTAACATCTGCAAGCACCGAACAGCAAGCCGCACTGCTTCACATCGTCTGCTGACCTTCTGGAGTAGCAGCATTTTGTCAAATGTGTGGCATGTGAAAGCCCTGCAATGACGGAGCTACGCCGCCAGCCATCAATAATTCCGGGCGATCAAACCGCATCATCGCATCGACAGTAGTAAGCCGCAATCGCTGCGTTCGATCATACACTTCCGACCTCGCAAAGGGAAGGCCTCAGAGCGGCCGCAAAGTGCTTGCTCTGGGACGTTCTGCCGCTTGCTCTCGCATTCATTCCCCACCCAGCCAGGCCAAGAGCCAAACGACGAGTGCTGGTCATAGGCGGCCTGGTCTCACTTGGCAGTTTGCTTGTTGGGTTTGTCTTTTTGTCTTGAAATACTGGCCAACAATGGTTTCCGCCGGTTCCCGCGATCCAGAAAGCTACAGCGGCAATTGGCAGCCCATGTTTGTGCAGTTGTTCGTAAAGTCGGACTCGTAGCAACTTCGCATGGTGGCGCATGTCTCCAAGATTAAATGAGATGCAATGCATGGATCATGTACTGACAGCTGCAAGCAGAGCAGACAAGTACATCCAGTCTTGCATCAGTCGCGTGTGGACAGCAAGGCATTGCTGGCGCAAGTGGCTGTGGGAAGAGCACCGTTGCTCAGAAGCTGGCCCAGAACATGGGGTCTCCTTTTACTCCTATCAGCCTGGACAACTACTTGATGCCGAAGTGGATGCCCAAGGCAGAGGGCAACCGCTGCGAGTAGTGTTGACGGTATCGTTTTGGTGATTTCAAGCCTTCTCGGCCTCCACACTCAGTGTTGAAATCACATAGAAAGGAAAGCAATTGTCTTATTGGATAGAAGTTGCACTTTGTAGACACATCACGTATGCTGGTTACGATCGGCGTGGTCGGTCAGCTACTCCAAAGACTTGGGCCTGGTATCCTTGCGATGATAGTCTCGGTGGTTGCAGACTTTGCTGAACCTCTCTGCTTGTAAGTTCTGCAGGGGAACTGGGAGACACCTGCGGGCGTGGACTTCCAGACTTTGACTTCTGACGTCAAGAAGGCGGTTAATGTGCTTGCCCAGGCAGAAACAGCCGCGACCTCAACATGTGTGTGTGTGTGTGCGCGTGCATGTGTGCGTGATATGGCAGTCCATTTCTATTTATCAGCCTTTAATTCATTGGACACCCTGCAATGAAAGGGGGGTTTGGTTCCGCAAACTTGAGGTCCCAGATCGGCTCCTGCTCGGTCCAAGCACCTCTCGATCCGACGTCATCTGCAAGGGTCAGGGCGGCCGCCGGCTGAACTCAGAGCAGGTGGTTCTCTTCCTCGCAACTAGGCTGTGCTGCAGACGGCGTCGATTTCTGGTTGAGACTTTCGGATACTGGTAGCTGGGGGTGTCGAGGCGGCAGCCACAAAGGTAGCAACATCATGCTGACATGGTGCCCAAGGAAGGTTTTCTGCTGTTCTATCAGCAGAGCCTCGCCAAGCTCTTCCAGGCAAAAATCTGGATAGATGCATCGCTTGAGAAGCGTGTTTGCACCTAGAACCATTGGAAACTATTGGCATGACTCCGTAGTCTGCGATGGTACCACGATGAGTCTTCGTGCCATCTGAGGACATGCATGCAGAGGCGCTTCAAGCGTGCCAAGGGCAAGCGCAAGAAGGCCAACAATGCAGACAAAGAAGCTTGGTTTCGCGACCAGGTTTGGCACCACTACGAACAGTATAAGGAGTGCCAGCTTGGGAATGCCTCTGATGCGCTCAAAGTAGACGGAGACCTGCCCAAAGACGAAGTTTTCTCTGAATGTCTCCGCTTCTGCACCGAGAGATCAAGAAAAGCGGCTCTGAAGAAACCAGCAGTGGTATTGCTACCCAAGCCGTCGTTGCCGGAGGCTGCCAAGAAGCCTTACCCAAAGCCAATGCCGAAAAAGCGGCCGCTGCAGCCTCGAGAGCCGGATGGCCCCCCGCCGAAGTCCCACCACGGTCCCGACATGGAGTGTGGTCAGCGTGATCTCTTCTGGAAGCCTTTGCCAAAGAAGCGCCCGCGACAGCGGCTGGAGCAAGGCTACAATGACTGGCACGACTGGCGCTAAAAGCTTGGTAGAGAGCATGTAGCATGTGCAGTTGCTTGACCGTACCCCTTGAAATCATCCTGTGCAGCTGTTCGATCACGGTCCCTGGAGCTGCAGGTTGCCTCGGGCGTACGTCAGGTCCGCGCCGGCGGTGGTGCTCTTCCTGACCGGGCCTTGCCAGAAGCACAGCTGGCACAGGGCTCCTGACAGGTCCAGAAACCAGGTTAGGGTGACCAGGGACCGGTGACCTGTCCGGTAGTTCCTTGACAATGACGTACCGCGCATTTCTGAGAATCGTTCTGTTGCGCCGGCCAGGGATTGCCGGTTCCAATTGGTGATGCATGAGGTGTGGCAATCTACCTCCGTCCCAATGTGCAGTGGCGAAAGAGGGCCAGGTGAGCGCATTTACTTTACCGTCTGGTCTGTCGAGAATTCCCTTTGGCGACATTGCGAGGACTTCAGGAATCCTAAGCCTCTTTGGCTACAGCGATGTGGGACGCTGGGCACCCTCCTCAGCCAAATTGTGGCCTTCGCATGGCCTTTGCATGGCCTGTCGCCCTGTCCCAGGAGCGGGCGCGGGAGAAGTTCGAGGAGGCCTGGCCACAAACCGCCGGCGCCCCAGTGGGCTCTTTCGCTACGCGACTCCTTGGGTGGATGCTTTAGCGCCTCAGGTCACTACGCTGGCCCTGATCTCAACATGTGGAGCAGAGAAACCCAATGGACGATCAAGTTGAAAGTTGAGTCATGTATGAAAGGTATTCCTCTTGCATGCTCTTCTTCCTGCCATTTCCACCATGTCTTCTTTGTCTGTGGCGTGGGTCCCAGTTCAGGGTCAGATGATCCGCTGGTGCAAATTGTTGTGAAGGTGTCCGTTCTGCATCCCTACTTTCCTCTTCGCGCATGAGAGGGTGTGCAGTTGTGCAGAGGGGCTTGTCCCCTCCCCTCTCACACCGCGCAGACCGCGCAAACAAAGAGTGCCTGGTTTGAGGCTAGGGGCGTTAGTGCAAGGGCTGCCACAGCATCGCCCTCTTCAGCCCGCCAACGCCAATTGATAACAAGAGACGGCCCAAGAAAGACAATGACAGCTCCCTTTCGTTTAGCTGCGTAATGAGTGCTTCAGGTGCTCAGTGCTCTGAGCCCAGCAGCTGAGCTGCATGGTGCCACCCTCACGCAACCCCAGATTCGGAAGGGAAGATCTGTGCATGACGCCCAAGGGTGGCAGGGCTGGGATCTTCTGAACCGAGTTGCTTGTGCTTCGTGGCAGCCTTGGCACTGTGCTGCACCGATGTCACGGCAGAGGGACTAAACACACTTGCCATGCCCAGCTTCTTGAGGCTGGGACTTTACAGTCTTTTCTCGGCCAGGAGCTGAGCTGTAAAGTCTGAGATGTGAGCGGTTGTCGTCTGCTCAGAGGTCGTCCTTCACCAGCTGCAGAGGGAGTATCCCGAGGTCCGTGTTGAGGGGTGTCACGCGTCGCTGTTGCATCTGCAGCTTCAGCTTTGTTAAGGGCGTCTATAGGATGCCCGAGTTCGCAGCTAAATGTTTCACACGTGGCCCCTACGGCTCGAACCAGGGGGCCCCTTTGAGCCTGTGACGAATGCGGGTCACAAAAGATTGCGAGCCATGTGTCTTTAGACGTTTCTTCGAACTGCCGC